ATATATAATAAACATATTAAGATAGAGAGATATAGAACTATATATAATAAAATAAGTGCATGCTTTAATAAAACGCTCAATTCGAGGCCCCTGCAATAGATGAATAAATGTAAACATTGTATGTAAACAGTAAAATGTAAACAGTATAAAGTGTTTCCGCAAAGTGGAAACATGGAAGCGTGATCCTTTTGTGAGACATAAGAAAAAAAATTTGCATGAAGTATTATTAACTCCCTGTTTGCATATTTTCTGTGATATGCCTTAAAGATTATGTCTTTTACAGTCCATTTCTTCCTCCTGGAGAGACTTGGATGAAGCACCCCCCCCTCAATTTTCCTAAAAGTAAATCTCTTAACTTGCAATAAATGCTCATTAATACTGTGTATTGCATTATTTGAACCACATTCTATATATAATAATTAAAGCAATTTCTTCAGGATATATAACTGCTGTTGATTAGCTTAATATAGAACAAAGTAGTGATAAAGAGCATGTAGTAGACTTGTGTAACTGAGCAATGGAGCAAGATGTGGCAAGCATTAATAAATAGATGGTGCATCCTGCTGTGTTGTGGGAGGCATTAGGCCAACGCCAACAAGGTACACCCAACAAATATAAAAGCAGTATGGATACATTGCAGAATTCTGTACTGTTATTCAAGGTATTAATATAAAAAACATTCCTCTGAAGGATTTTTGTGGGTATGAGCGTGGCTATATGGCTCTGAATTCAGGCGCATGGTATTGCAGGTGCTTTTCAAAAAAGAAAAGGTCAAAAATCCCTCCGTCAGCTCTATCTTTTGAAATATATAATATGTTGTGCATCCATCAATGTTGCTTATACTGAAGTCGGTAATAAAACTTCCTTTGATTTCACTGTCAATCATTAGGCCAGCTTCTGACAGTTGCCCACAAGATATTCTGCTTTCCTGAAGTGCTTTTTCTTATTCTGTGCAATGCTGAAGAAGGCTGAGAATCAGGGGGCATCGTTGCAAACCATTCTGATTCCTGACACCTAAACAAGGGAGTCTGAGTGTCCCTGGGAACTTCCCCAGCTCCCTGTAGGCGATACACCATCTTCTGCGCATCCAGGATCGGGGATGGCTCTAGCTGTAACACCTTCACTCAACTCTTACCGTGTTCTGTCTCTCAGAGTAAAAAAAATTAATTTCCTCTCTTTTCTTCTTTTGTCCTTTTTAATAGGTAGAGGACGAAAGGTAAGATTTCCTTTACAATTTTTTAAAAATGTATTACAACTGTTAAAAGAATCTCTTGCATCTCCTTGGAGCACTTCACAGAAATTAAATGTAAGCTCTGTTAAAAACACTTAATTCTTTCCTCTTGGTCTTCCTTAGTGGCTAGGGAGATTGTGGTCCACATGGGAAAAATGCTGGGATGCAGGCAAAAATCCTGGTCTTAATATAGAGAATCCCTTGACTGAAAATCCCTGCTGTCTACATAAAAGGAATTCCAGTTTGAATAGTTTGGTTGTTCCGTCTCTAGCAGTGCCACAAAATGAGGAAAGGGACGACTAGGTCCTTAGAAGCCAAACTATTAAAACTTGCAGCTTGTTTGCCGCTGAGACTTAGCTGCCCAATGTGCAGTAGGTCTGCTGGAATTGTTAAAACTTTGTGCAGGAGGCGTGTCTGTATTGTGGTGCAAGGCATTACTGCACCTTGTCTGGCTGTCCTTGTGTTAGCTTTGACCTCGTTCCGTATCAACCACAAGAGAGCTGTTGCCCGTAGGCTGGAGCAGCCACTGAGGTATGAGACACAGCTGGTACGTCGGCTTTGCAGCCTGTCTTGCGTACGGCTGCACCTGAAGTCGGGTGTATTTACAGGAGCCTAGGTGACACCTGTGACTGCTAGGCAAACTTTACCCAAAAGTACTCTGTCTTCTAGCTGGTACCCCATGGCATTGACGTGATGAGCTCCAATGCAAAGTTATACTTACAAATTCAAGTTTTAAAAAATGTCTTACACTGCTCTTTGATCTAGTATTTTAGTAAGAATTTTGGTTTTCTTACATTTGCTGTTGTATTTCATTATTTCATATACTTGACCATGAACAACTGGGGTTTTGTATAAATCACTGGAGGATTGCACGAATACAAAAATACGCCTCAGCCGTATTTAAATGTATGAAACCACGCTGAAAACAGTTTTTTGGCATCCTTTCTACTTTCACTGTGGTAATAATTCAGGCCGCCCAAGGCAGCTTGCATAACATCATGGCCATGTTGGAGTCAACACTAAGTCAAACACTGGCAACCGTCACCCAAGTGCTTGTGAAGGTCCTTTACCATGGGAGGCTCTGCAGGAGGCGGGTCTGCTGGAGCCTGAGTGTTCAACGGGAACGCTTGGCCCAGGCCCTGATGGAGAACGAGGGTGATGGGTTCTTGCACAGAGCCACACTTCTGTGGGCAGCGTCTCTCGTAGCATGCAATTAAACAAAGAGAAGATCTATTCTTACAAAAGAAATTGAAATACGTTCTGATAAATGAGCTTCTAAGATTGTAAGCGGCTACAAGAAATAATAGAAATACTTTTTAGATGATCAAGTATATACACTCACTAAAACCGCGTAGCTCTCTGTGCAGAGGTAGTTTATGGAAATAAATGGACTGTAACCAGCTTACTATTACTTGATAAACAAGGCAGGAAATTTTTTATCTTTACAAAGTCCTCTTTTTTTCCTTAATAAAACGGTTACGACCAATAGGTCTAAACCCAGTTATTTTATGCAACATGTAATCATTGTCAACACATTCAGCTCCAAGAAAATTCAATTGGCAAATGCTGTGTCCTTCACTCTGAAGCTATGTGACACCATTTTGTATTCTGTCCCTACGCTGCAGGTGGACATGCAGGTTTTTTATGTCCATAAATTTAAGGATATGAATTTTAATTTAATACCTTGAAGAAATGGAGTCTGAATGCTGCTCTGGGCTCTGCATTTCATATGAATCAAATAATCCAATAACAGAACTATAACATGTTTTCTAGTACTTAAATATCATGGTGATTTTTTAGTTTGACTCTTCTTTCAGCCAGTGTGTTATGCAGTTGGAGAAGGTGTTAATTTATAGCCTTCATTTAATCAGTGTCCATAGTCATTAAAAATAGTGCGGATTAGCTATCGTAGGTACTTTAGTCTCAGTTGTATCCTTAGAGAAGTCTTAGCATTTGTCACAGTCACAGGGATGGTATTGATGAAACTGGTACTGTTAATTGTACTTTCACTTGTTTTCTGCCATCTGATGTTTTTGTATCTTTTTTCTACAGGGACAAAAAGGAGAACCTGGAATAGTGCCACCTGTAAGTGCATTTTTTCTTCATTTATCAGCACCCCCTAGAACATTTTAGTGCTTTAAAGCAGAATTGCAGTAATTAAGGAAATACAAAAAAAAATGTACAGCCTAGGAATGAAAGGAATGGAATTAATTATGCTATTTCACATATCTAACATTAGAAATTCCTGTCAATTGCAGTTTGGGAAAAAATCTTATTGAGTTAAATCTGTCATAATCTTTATTTTTATAGTTAGAATTTTGTGGAGCTATATTGTAAATTAGTATTTGGAAAGTGTAGAGACACTTGAGAAAACTGGTGAAATAGATTATCACTTTCTATCTTTATTATTCCTTTCTGGCATGAAGACAAACAAATTAAAAAAATCGATAGTTGAGCCTAAATCATTGTAATTCACTTGCTTATTTCATCTTTTTTAGAATAACAATGATACTTCCAAGATTTTGCTCATATTGCTTATAAAAAGACTCCAAACTGGAAAGAGATAACCAGTGGAATTTCCGCCTCCCCCCCTCCCCCCCAACAAGCCTTACAACTTGCCTGGTGCTTTAATTTTCTCTCTTGCTATTTACTTTTCACTAATTTTCTCTGACAAATATAGCCATAACGTTGTGTGGTGACTTTAATTCATATTGCCTTCTTTAGGTTTCAGGAATACGAGGCCGTCCGGGACCAGCCGTGAGTATTTTTTGATCTTCTGTTTCTCTGATGATAGCATTTTCCACTTTCTGCCATTTCTGTTTTGTATCGTGAGGATGATACGAAGGAGGACTCTTCCGTGCCTGCAGTGCGTATTGTCTGCAAAGCCGCTGGATTTGAGGAGGCAACAAGATTATGGGATTTTTTACTAGTCTCAGGTCTAGCCCATGCCCGAAGTGAATGGATGCATGCTTGTAGTACATGCACGTCTGAGGAGCTTTCTGCGAGGTCGATGCCGGGGAATGCTTTTCTAGCAGGGATCTAGCAGGAGTAGAAGGAGATGCAGTATGCTCCCCGGCTGCGGCTAAGCAGAGACTACTAGCAGGAAGGGTGTCTCAAACCTGTACATCTCTGCATTAAGAGCCTCCAGCATTCAGAAAGCCTTTGCTAAATTAACCTGTGGAGCACATGAGAGGTGAAACTGTTTTGTAGATCTCTGCAGCCTGATTCTACTCCCTTCAGGCAATGTACAATTGAGAAGAAATATTGAATACTTGGTGACTGTAGCTGTTTTCTTTATGATCATGTGAAAAAAAAAAAAAACACAAATTAATTTTCAAATAAGCATTGCATTTCATATTTTCAGAGCTTTATTAATAGTTAGCTAGTTTAAAATGTACTTAATATTTCTAATCTTTCTTTTAGGGACCTCCAGGCTCACAAGGACCACGAGGAGAACGAGGACCAAAGGGAAGACCTGTAAGTTATTAAATATCTCAGAAATCAAGTACTGGACTAACCTCAAAAGGTTAGATGGCTTTAAACTGTCTCCATGTGTTTTAGAGTTACCAGAAATTTCCTCATATTTTCCAAGGATCAGGTAACAAACAGAAAAATATTTCTATCTCACCATTCCCTGGGTAGATTGAAACCTGAATGTTTTGAGATAATTGACAGAGGTTGAGTAGTATTTCCACTAAAAGCCATACTTTCTCAAAAGCTACCCAAAGTAGTGTCTGAGAGTACGGCTTTCTCCAGAATTTAAAAAAAAAAAAAACAGAACAACAAAACTGGAACATCACATTCGCCTGTTTAAGAACTCCCTGACTTTTTGCTGGTTACTAACTGTGCACCAGAAGGAGTGTGAGCTGTGGGGCCCAGAGTATTTCAGGAATGGCAAAGCTCAGGAAATTAGCAGGAGTTAATATGTGACTACCTATGTTGGTATGCTGGTGAATAATATAATCAAGATTGCTCAGTGGAAATAAAGACTGCATAAGGGAATTTCAGTGTTCGTATGTGGAGAACCACAGAAAGGCCAAAAGGGAGTGCTGAAAATACCAAAGACGACACGTTCCTGTTGAAAAAGCTAGGTCAAGGAGCAGAAGCTGCTAAAAGCAGATTTTAAAGAGTTGTATCATTGTAATTTCTATGTGGATATTTTCCTATCCCTCAAGAGAGCAAGCCAATACTGAGTTTAGGCGTAGGCCTAAAACTGACTCCTTTCTGCCGTTCCTCCAGCGCGTGCCTGTTGTCCATAGATGGTAACGACACTTCTGAAGCGGCGCGTAGCCGCTTTGAGCTGGGTGCCAAGCCGCTGCTGCTCTCTCGATCACCATAAGACGTTTGTCTGATGAATGAGTATCAAGATGCTTAAAAGAATTCTGGAAGTAACTGTGAAATCTTGTGGTGCGCAGAGGAATCTTGTTTATAGAGACGTCTGAAGTGCTTTCCTAATGTGCAGTATTATCAATGAGACGCTAAATAATTTCTGATTCTGTGCCATGCATCCCTTATATGTCTCTTCAGAGTGGTGGCTAGAAGCACCTAAAATACCAAAAGGCTGTAAATAGTTTTGAGTTCCTTTGACACAGGTTATTGTACTGCTTTCAAGGAATATCAAGGGATTAGGAACCAGTCCTTTGAAAATGTTACGTCGAAGGTTGTGGTGAGCTGTGTGTATGTCAGAGCTACGTAGGTCTGAGACCAAAGAGCACTGCTTTAGTTACAGAGTGACTGCTAGTGCAGGATTTTTTATTTATACTTACGGGAAAAAAAAGTTAGCTCACACCTGCAGTTTATATTATGAAAACCTCTCTGCACACTGTTTGCAATTTGTTGAAAATACCTCATGGAGCAGGTAACCTTGTACAGACACCCTTTATAAAATTAGTCTGGGTAAATACATTACTGACTGGTGCTATTACAAAACCACTAAGCACATTTCCAAGCCTTTTGTTTGTTGCTTTGGATTTTTTAATTTGTTCTTTCTATGGGCTCCTACTGACCCTACTGAGAAGGAACTCAACCTTGCTATGGATCTCTGCCTTTTACAAAAGCAGGACCCTGGGATCTAAAGTGAATTATGTATTATATATGTATTAGCGTATTTTTTACTTCAAGTTCTTTGTTAGTGTAACAATGAGAGAGAAACGGCTAGGGAATACTATGTTTGCATTTGCAAAATGCGTTTAGGGAGGGGGAGTTTCAGAGCATGATACAATTTCAGGTGTTTATAAATAATCATTTGAAGACAGAAAATAAGCTGGAGCATCCTCAGAACCATTGATATATTTTGTTTCAATATGGATTTACACACCATGATCTGCTTTTTCTTTTATTCCCTGACAGGCAAAACCTGTCATAGTTTCCGAACAGCAGCCGCAATGGGCCAGTTGCGTGAGTCGGTTGCGTGTTTAAACGGTGCCACCTCGTGGCCTCTCTCAGAATTTTTTTCCTTTTTTTTTAAACCTTACTGTCCCTGAGCTGGTGAAAGAAAATGAAAAAGCTTTTTTTCAGATACATATAAATAGATAAATAATATAAGATAAATAGAAGTATAATCAAGATTTTATTAAAAAACCCCCCAACATTGGTTTGGTGACTAAAAAGCAGGTCCTTTTCTAAAAAGAAACGAAAAAAAAACCTTTTTCTGTGTCAGATTTTGTTAAGGTGTCTCGGTTTGGATATTGAAAATCAGTAGTCGTTGTATTAATGCTTGCTTAATTCTTTATAGGCAACTGTTTTTTTCTCTAATGCTTAGCTTTGTTTTCTTTTTATTTTGAGAACAAACGAAAGATGATAACTCATTCTTTTCCTGTGTTGGACAGTATACATTTTTAGGTTTGGCAGTGTGTACTTCTATTTATAATAGAAACATTAAATAATAAATTTTTCTGCTAGAACCTTCTGCTTCCATCCAACATGCACAAACCTTCTCATTTGTTTCAGAATAGCATCTATTCACAACTCATTCTGCGAGTAGGGGAGTCTGTGTACGTGTATGTCTGATAAGAAAAAGATTTTCCCCTGATTGCTAGGCTTATAGGAATTTCAGACCATAAAGATAGATGGAGAATTAAGAGAACGAGCTCATTCACTGGGATTTTCCAGGAATCCTGTTGTCAATTCTATCCCAGTGTAGCCCTTTCCCAAGGGAATGCTTTTTCTTTAACATGCGAACCGTACTCGTTCAAACCATACCAGTTCAGACACAAATTCCACTGAAATGTGTCGCAGACTGCAAGGAAACACAGTCCTTCATCTCGTGGCAATACAAGCATTCTGTCTGATTATAATTGTGTTTGTAAAGATGACTCACTGAGCCAGGCTTCCAAAGTTTTATGTTTAAGGATCCTTAAAGTAGAAGAGCTCGTTATTCAGTATAAAATTTTTCCTTGCCATAGTCAAGCATTTTTCTCCTAATGAAGGAAGTAGTAGTGACAAGCACTTTAAAGTCTGTGTTTGTGGTTGAAGTGTATCTTTATTGGCCCTGCTGCTATTGATTTTGTTCCACTAATGTTTTATTAGCTGCTTCTTTATTTAATTTTAGTTCTGACACACGATAAGATGAATGCAGCTTAGGAATCAGAAGTGGGTGATCAAAATGGGAGCAATGGGATGGCCTCCCAGACTATTCTGCAAATACTAGCACGAGATAACATCGACGCCAGGGAGTTACTCTGCATTTTTGGCAGTGTTGAGAATTCAGCAATAGCATGAGCTGTCTAAACCATTCATGATGTCAGGAGGCTGTAAAAATCCAGCCTTACGCTGGAGTTTCCTAAGCATGTGCATGTATGTACACTAGTCTGAGTTACCTGTGTTTTAGAAGTAAATTCTTGATGTTCTATATTGTGTGCAAAGCCAAATAGTTTTTCAGGAATAGTATACTCTAGCATGGAATGATAGGAAACCTGAGTTTCTAAAAGAGCCTGTGAGAGAAATTACTGCAGTTTACTTGTATGTTGGATTTGTGACTAATTTTAGCCAGTGCTTCTGATCTGAAGGTAGGAACAGCTCTTGGGGGATGTTGTTTGTTTGAAGATCTTTCTGTAGAAATACAGATTTATCAAAACGAGACAGTTGTTTGCCAGTTGCAATGATTTTAATGAATACCTTTGCCCACTGTTGGCATTTCTGATTTTGTTGCTAGGGTCCTCGGGGTCCTCAGGGGATTGACGGTGAACCTGGTATCCCTGGCCAGCCTGGTGACCCTGGTCCTCCAGGGCATCCTACCCACCCAGGACCAGATGGACTAAGCAGGGTAAGTTTTACACTTGCTTTAGTAGAAAGTGAAATGAGTGTTGGGCCAGATCCTCATGATACAAAGAGTAACTCCTCTTTTCTTCAGTGAACGTGGAATGCTGTGCCCACAGTTCTTGTCTCTCAGTCATGAGGGACAGCAGCTAGCGGCAGTGCAAGTTCTGCCAAAAATTGGGGCAAGTTGAACGTGAGAAACCTTGGAAAGGGCACACGTTTCGCACTGGGTTTTAGTACGTAGGAAAGTCAAGGTGCCCAAATCTAAAACCCTCAGTAGGGTTCTGTTACTTCCACCTGATTTAAACCCAAGGGATCTGGGCAATAGTACAGGGAAACTGGTGTACCAAATTAGGAATACAGAAAATAAAAAAATAAGATGAGTTATAAATAACAGAATAACTAATGAGAGAAATTCAAATGTGGTTAATTATACTTCTTGCTGGAATTGTTTAGACCAACACTGAGAAGATTAAGTAAGGGATTGTTTGTGAAAAGCAGTGCTCACCAGCCATAGATACAGGCAGGGTGTTCTGCAAGACTTCCCCCCCCCTCCCCCCCAGTTCTATGGAACTCTAATTATGATTGATAATGAAGTACATATTTGAATTTCTCAGGTATATTCAGTTACACATTTATTGCCATTTGGAAGATATCTGTTTTGATTTCTCACTCAGGAACGTTGCTCCTGCAACGTTACTGAAAACAATGGGATTATATTGACAATAAGCTGAAATATTCAGGCCAACGGCTTGCAAGTTTGGGCAGCATTTCTTGACTTAACCACCTTTCCAAATAGTCCTAATCCAGCAGATTCAGCCCAAGTAAGTATCTTCAGCGCAGAGGAATCCCTTAGAATCACAGAAGCACCAGGATGGGTGTTAGACCACCATCCTTCATAGATTTCCACAGAAAATACCAAAGAATAGGTGTGGCCAGAGATCTGAGACATTTTTGGTTTATATTCCTGTCTCTGAAGTTAGGCAATCTCCAGCCTTGTGGAAAATGTGTTTGGGGACCAATCTGATGCAGAACAAACTGTAAATCTTAGAAGACTTGAATGCACATTTGTGCTGTTGCTCCTTCTCAGCCACTGTAAGCTCTGGCCTGCCACCAGTGAGGGTCTGGCTCTGAACGAAGCGAAATAAAACTGTTGGTTTGAACAGAAGAAGGAGGGCACTGAAGGTTCTCCCTGCTCTAACTCATTTGTCTCTGTGAATTGGCCTGAACAGCAGTGGCCTTCAACTTTGCTGGGTAAGGGCAACATGCTTAAAAAATTCTAATTTGCAATCATAAAATCAGCTACATTTCCATTTACCTTAAGATATTTCTGAACTTGAAGCACAGTAAGTGAAAACAAAAGAAAGGCTTAGAAGACATGAAGGAATATTGCAGGTGAAGTTTAGGGGTGATTTAAATTTGAAGGTAGCGAAAGAAATCCAATTAATTTTATGGGAGGCTTTACTCTTTTTAAGTAATTTTCCCATTTGTTTAATATTAAAGTGGAGGTAGAGTCAGAATAGTGAGCAGACAATACGATGCATTCGACCGGTCTTTGAAGCCTTAAACCACCTTAAATTTACAGGAAAGACAACTTTTATTTTAATGATTAAAACAAGAATTTCGTTGTTAGCGCTGCAAAGCCCATGTAAATAATGAAGGTACGGTTACATGGATTTTTGTCTTATGAACCATCAAAATGACTGACAGCTAAAATCCCATCTTATTTTTTCAGCCATTTTCAGCTCAGATGGCAGGACTGGATGAGAAATCTGGACTTGGTAGTCAGATGGGAATGATGCCTGGTGCAGTGGTAAGACCAGATTAGCCCTGTACGTAGAACAGGGTGGAAGTGGAGTGTGTGTGCAAAATCCCAAAGGGGAATTCATCCTCTTCAACTTCCTATGCCTCTAGAACCTAGACGTACAGTATGTTCTAGTGCAGTTTTGCACAGTACCTGGAAAAAAGTGAAAAAATACTCTTCTGTTAAAGTGAAAGCTTTTTTTCCCCACCTCTAGCCTTCTTGTTGTCTTCCTTGCCTCCTTCTGAAATATGGCAGCTACCAACAGTAAGGTACAGGAAAAAAACCAGCTCCTGATTTTCTCATATCTTGAGTCACTGCAGAGTAACTGAAAAGTGTCAGGTATAACGCAAAGCAGAATAAACAAATACGTAACTTTGAAGGCTTCTTTTCACATTGTGACATCAAAGATAGTTATTTTTGGTAGTATTTTAAAAAATTATTCCTGAAACCAGCTGTTAACTGAAAGCTGTGCTTTGTTATTTTAAGACAGACATTCTACTTCTCCACAGGGTCCAGTTTTATCATTGGCATCTCTCACTGTTTAGCTTTGCCCTTCACTTTTAGTGCACTGGGGACTTAATGGTAACGCTGAAATTTTTTACCATCTGTGAAAGCTGTTTCACCACCCTAAGCTGTCTCTGCTAGAACTCTTGGGGTTGTTTTTGGATATTATCTCTTTTCACTACATGTATTTATCACATTGTGATATCTTGAAGATACTGTTACCCTCTTTGCTGTTATTTTTAACCTGCATTCTTAAGGAAACCATCCTTTGATTGTACTGTCCATGAGTTTGCCTGCTTAAATCTTATCCCTCCAAGTCTCCACTAGTAACCTTCAAACTCAGTTTCAATACAGTTTGAAACGTTCTAAAGATAATCTGATGTTTTGTGGTGATTTCTTCAAAGAACTTTCCTTTTTTATGAATGTCTCTCTTCCGTGAATTTTCTGTGCGCCCATACAATGATTTGTTCCAGAAATCTGTCCTACTTACTTGGTTGCCCTCCATCATTTTGCTTAATCCTTTCACTCAATTGTCTTGAGACTTTGCATCTTTTGTACTGCCTCTTCTTTTGTCATTCTCAAATATGATTCGTTTTAATATTAACATCTCTTCTAAGCTATTTTTTCAATATCTAGGTCTCTTGAAGGCCTTACACAAAGTCTATTAAAGTCAGTTGGCACTCACTTACTATCTTTGGATTGATTCATCATGTTCTGTGATATGCTTTTTTCCTTTCCTTGTAAACTGAGTAACTGACAGAACCATTGTTTTTTGTTTTGTTTTTAAAGTTGATCAGAATTTTTAAATGGCCTATTACTAACTCGTCTACATTTGCTTCGTAAAAATTATTAAAATTTAATGAATTTTGTGTAAAAGACTTAAATCTTGAACCTCTGTCAAAATGCAAGTTATTGTCTGCTATATGTATTGCTAGAAGCAAGAGAATTACTTTCAGACAAGATTATGTTTACTTCATGGTATAAGTTACAATTAAGCACGAGATTTTTCCTAAAAATCCCATGAAACTTTTTAAGGGGAAATCTGAATTTTCTGTAACAAGCCACAACCATTTGGAAGCTGTTTTAGTGGTTTGTATGATTCATGAAAATATGTCCTTCCATTGCCGCTTGTTGCTGCTCACAGCTGAGAACAGCAGCATGAATTTATTTTGTCATTGATTCCATTATGAGATTAATCTGAGTAATGAGAGTCCCTTCAAGGGAAGCCTATTCCCCCCAACTCCATTCTGTTATTACATTTTTTTCGGTGGAGGCAGGCAACCTGGTTATTCTGAGTGATTCCAGAGACTGTGAGGTTCCAGAAAGCAACCAACCCCATATTTTCAGCTGCTAATGAATTTACACTGCTGTGGCTTTTTGAGTTTGAAGATTTCCATTCTATGTACTTTTGTATTTCATAACATCGGTCTCCCGAGTAAAAGCCTTTCCGGGGGTTTGACCATAGAAACGTTATCTTGGAGGTCACTATCAAGCCATTTTGCTGTCTTTGTAGGATGAATGTTACTTGCGGAAGGGTGTTTTTAAGTGTGTAACAAGTTATGTTTTTGATAGGGTCCAGTGGGTCCCAGAGGTCCTCAAGGTCTCCAGGGAAAACAAGTAAGTACTTCACCTCAGGGGATTTGAGATAATTGGCCAGAGATGAAGGCAAAGCACATAGTAACTGGTGTGTGTGTGCACCTCTGAGGTAATGTCCATCTTCAATGATGCAAGGATGCATCTTCACCTAGAGGTGAATCTAAACTTACTGCTCTCAAGAGCTCCGCTCCATATGTACTCTCTACCCAAAAATTAACTCAGAAAGAACAATTTATTAGACCTTTAACAAGGTTTTAGCCGAACACACATTTCTTTAATGAGAGAACAGCAATGAAAACGGTGACTGTTCTGGTTTCAGTATTGGCATGGTGTTAAGTTTCCAGTGGGGTTTGTATATGGCACAGGACTTACCCAAAGCTTAAGGGATTTTAGTATCCAACTTCCACTCATTTTGCAATGTGAGCTGGTTCTGAATTAAAATCCAGACTGTCCCATGGGCTGTGATTTTCCTGATCATGGATTTTAATTTATATTCTTATAGTTTTACTCTTTGGAATTTGTAACTGTATTCATCTTTGGTTAATTTTAGGGTGGTGCTGGTCCTACAGGCCCACCTGGTGAACCTGGGGATCCAGGACCTATGGTAAGACCAATAAATACAAACATTTCTACAATAAAATTGCAAACAATGTATTATACCTCCTTACTTCGGGACAGATTTTTTTGTGTGTGTGTGTTCTCTCAGCCGAAGCTATTAAGTAACTTAAGTCAAGAGTTGTGGTGTTCAAAGCATGTAGTCCTGAATCAGTGAATTTGAATTGTTTTGAACATGCATAATAATGATTGTAGTATAAACAATCATTATTACTTTTCCAGCACAGACCTGAGGATGGTTAAGCACTGGTTAAACCATACCTGATAGTGCACCTTACACAAAGGATGATGAGAATATTTATTTTTTGGAGGCGATAAAATGATTCAAAAATAAAAGCAAGAGCCAGAGATTTGGAACAACAACTGTGGTTTTTAATGTATTTTTTTTCTCCTAAAGAATCCATCCCATATTTTTATATAACATAATGCAGGTTTCTTAGGGGCAGGATGGTTAGAAAGAGCACTACAAAATTAAGCAAGTGTGCTTAGGCATAAAATCATCCTTTTCCTACATCTGTTTTTATAAAACCAGACTGAAATGGAGCAAATAGATATTTTAGTGATGGCTAAACTGACTTCTCAACAAATATATTTATTTCTTAGGGTCCAGTTGGTTCTCGTGGACCAGAGGGACCTCCAGGCAAACCTGGTGAAGATGTAAGTTTGTTACTCTCTGTATCTTGTTTTATTTTTAATAAAACAAATATTGGCATCTTTGAGACAGTGACTAACCAGCAGATGTGCCTGTACTTTTATCTATTTACTTTTCTTTGTAATCATACTCCTCATTAAGTGCAGTGTCATAACTATAAATCTTAGTAACCCTTTTCAAAACCCTCCTATCTTTTCCTTACCTGTCACCATCATACCTAAGGTTTAAGCACTGGCTCTTTATTATTTCTTGCCTCAGCCAGTTCTTCAACAGAGGTGTCTTTCTTGAAATCAAATGTAATAATATACCACGGTTATGAGGGGGCAGTTGGAGGCGTCTCCTCCCTTTGGGATCGCATGATGAGTTGGAAGAACTGTAATGATAACATTCACCTGGATCTGGACAATAAAATTTTTTAACTTCTTAACAATTTATTATTTTCATAATTGATTTTATAACTCTATCCATGCATGTACACATTTATGTAGGATGTATGTATTATACTTGTGGCATAAGTGTATATGTACTGCACAACAATAGCCTAAGAATTTACAGGTAGACGTATATTATTTGTTTGCAAAGCATGCTAAATCCATCTGAATTATCATTTATAACTTGGAAATGAGTTGAAAACTGCAGATGCTGGGTATTTTAGTATAAAAATTACCATAGCTTGTGTAACAGCTGCTTTCTCATTAAACTGTACAAAGAGTATAAGAATCTTTGGAAACAGTTAACTCTCAGTGCAGTGAAGCCAAATCTTGATACTGCTCTAAGAACTTCCTCCACTTCCAATGTATGTATGGCTTTCTTTAATTGCATTTGTGAAACGCTTTACCTTCTCTCTGTCCGGAAACTATTTTTCTGTAGCCTTTCATATTCCTGCAGCCCAGAGTCCTGGATGTATTTGAACTGATTGATGCATATAAAGGAATGTTTGGTTGTGACTCTGGAGGACTTTGAATAATCTTCAAAACATTCTTATTTGGTTCTACCATATTTTCTTTCCTATGGCATGACATAGAAAATAGTCACTGACCTAGAATGAAATTATACATGTTTTAAAACATTCGAAGAGAAGGAGAAGTAACAAGCTACAATGCAGGCAGTTTTAGATTGCTGTTCCTATGGAAAATTAAAGTAATTTGATTCTCTGCATGAGGATGACAAGAGGTTGCCTCATTAATTCACAAGAAAACTACGTTGCAGTGCCATCTTGTGATGCTGAGATGAATTTTGGACTCGGTCTTCAGTTCCCACAATTCTTTGTTAAAAACCCTTTTTAAGTTAATGTGTCTCATGCATATTGCTAGTCATGTGTGCGGTTGTTTTACATCACTGAAATTGTTACAGTAAAGAGAAGATATATAATACTGATGGGAATGTCCTCATTTGTTTGAATGGAAGAATGATAAGAGAAGTTGATTTTCACATTTGCTATTTTCATGTGTTCCTTTTTTTTTCTTTCCTTAGGGTGAACCTGGTAGACCAGGACAATCCGGTGAGACTGGATTTCCAGGATCTCCGGTAAGAGCATGGTTATTTACATTTTAGCAAAAATAATCATACTTATGTCATCACTATCTCTTTTAATGAGTGCAAAGCTCTGCCATTCAATTTCTGAAGTACTTGTGTTAGTTTACTCGTATGATCCAGATCAGTGTGAAAGCTCAGAACCAAACAGGTGATTCAAAAGTCCTTGAGTTAATCCCGTGAGTCATTTCGTGGGTGCATGTTTCAACTGCTTCATAGATGAAATATGCATAAAACAGATGACAGTATGTACACGTTGTCCTCCATTTCCCAGTATTTCACACGGTCATTCGCAAACATGTGAGGAAGTGCTCAGAGACTATAAAATGATGTCGGGTTGGGGTGGCACTGTTCACCTTTATAACAATCAGTCTGAAGGCAGGGGAAGAGGGGATTGTATCGTAGATGTATATAATTTATTTTTATATATATTTTCAATATGCAAATGTGGTTAAAGGATTTCCAAATAACATCTACTTGTACTGCAGAGGATACCTGTCATGGTTTACTCTAGAAATAAAAGAAAACAGGTATATCTGATGATGTCATTTTATCATCTTATATACTTTTGGCCCATATTAAGAGTTATACCTTCATTAGTCAAGTTTCTGTACCTGGAAGGGAGCTGTAGTGTGGCTGAAAAGGGGACAGATAAATCCTAGAACTGAAGCCACCTGATACACATCATCTCTTAAGATGCCTCCTTTTCTTTTTAAGTGTCCAGTTCTTGCCTGGCAATTTTATTAGCAACAGGAGATATGATCTCTTGGAGAGAGAAATGGTTTTTTTAACAAGGCAGTGTTGTTTCCTAGGCTTTCTTCCTAAGTTTTATGGATCAAAGACAATGTTTGGTAAGCTGCTTGAGGCAAACGTAGTCTGTGGAGTATTGTTCTGTTCAGATCAAGCTGTTTTACTCAATAAAAACATCCTTTAGAAGACTTTGTAATGAAGGAAAGAAATACTGCAACTGCACATACACACAAAAAACCTCATTAAGAGTGTGCTGCAATTGCATAGCACTGTAGAGAACCCCACTGAATACCCTGATAGTTTATCAGAGAAGCGTGCCATGTCTTGATCAATGACAAGGCCCATTAGACTGCTATGGAGATACCCGATGGCTGTTTCCCCTTGCACATGATTTGCCTCCTTGCCATGTGACTTGTCCCATGTGCGTGCTTCATCATTTGATTGCCCTGGTTGTATAAGCTGATATACGTACACCACTAAGCACAGGCCAAATAAATAGTTTTTATGGGCTACATACAGTCTAAACAAGCATAATTTATACAATTTCAAATTTACATGCAAGAACTTGTATGACAACAGACATCATCCTTCACTGAGAAACTCACTGAGTATAAATAATTTCAAGCGATCTAATATATTAATTTCAGAAATTTCATACCTTTATAAAGTAATTCTCCCTTTAGGAGTCCGCAGACTCTGGAGTAATTTCCCACTGAACTTTATGATCAAACATTATCCATATAATTGACTATGGGAAGACAAAGACCTTTCTTACGTTCCTTGATGCTAACAAGGAAACAGCTTGTCTGTATGTCAAGTTCTCCTCTCCAATGCTGAGATCTCAGATGTTCTTTTTCACTCCTCTGAATATCAGTGTTCATTTTCTATAATATATCTTCATGATTTTTTCTATGCTGAAAGGTATGAACTGTAATCGTTTTGAGGACTTTGTTCAGAGGTACCATAAGGAAGAAATGATATGTTTAAACAGTTTGCTTGAATTGTTATCTGAGAGTATGAAGGTGTTAATGTGATTTCCATTATAAATTCATGTGACCAATATTCTAACACGAGGTACGTAGGTCCCTTCCATTACTTAGGCTTTCCTGAAAGAGAAATCGGGAAACTTGGTAGGAAACTAAGTGCAAGACAACTCTGGTTTAATTGTTAAATGTGTTTTAATAGCAGTTGTTTATCATGCTACTTGACTGACATATTCTGAAATAACGTGTACAGTTTGCAGTTTGGTCTCAGTTTCTATTTTATTTTGAATGATAGCTCTGAGTTTTGATCTCTGTTTAATTAAGGTTTCTTCATATTAAGCTTCAAAACTTGATCTACCACTAGTCATTACTTCTACTTGAGGTTTGATCATACACCGACATAAACAATAAAGATTTTAACATCAGTAAAAATGTAAATAATGCCGAGACTGTCTAACTTCATAGCATGTTATGCTGTATCATCTGTGACCCGCTCAAATGCTGTATTATGTCACCAAGATGAAGGGGTGTTAGGAGTATTAGTACTAATGCTGCTACCCTCTTCCCTGTTAGCAGCATTATGGCTAGGTTTGTCTGCAGAAATAAGGATTTTATTTGTTTTTTCTTTTTCCTACTTAGGGGCCTCGAGGCTTTCCTGGTGCTCCTGGTCTCCCAGGTCTCAAGGGTCACAGGGTAAGAAACAAGATTTTCCCTCTCCTTATAGATGATGGTTCCAGGCAGTTTCAGTATAAAGGTACTCAACTTCTTTTGTATTAGTGGTGAATTTGACTACACTTTAGTCCTGCCAATTGCAGCAGAATCACTGGCATTTGAGAGAAAGAGGGCCTTGCAGAAAATCAACACTATTCCCCTTTAAGCTGACCTCTGCATTATATTCTCTAGTGCTTTCTCCACTGTATTTTCCAATGATCTGGGAATCTGGAAGGAGCTTGCATGAGCCCTGCCAAGCTTCAGGAGGCACAAACCTGACAGTTCTCTCACTTTGTTGGCAAGTCTTGCATTAGGGTGGGGAACTTGAGAGGTGGATATGTTTGCAACATGGAGTGATTACAAATAACCAAGTTTTCTGGCCAGAATTTTACTTCTGGGAGGAATAAGTAGGTTTCCTATGGCTCAGAGCCTTCTCCTTGTTGTTTTAGGACTTTTTAAAAATGTTCTTGTTTTAAAAAGGAAAGCAAATCCAAGGAAATGTAGCTTGTACAAATGGTTTCCATTTAGGAAATGTTTAAAAACTTTATTCCATCTGGTTTTTTTCTTCTTTTTTTTTTTTCCTTTCTTGCTCTTGCCACCTCAAATCCATTCTTAACACTTTAGTATCAAGTTATTTTAACAATAATAGTAGGAATGCTCTTTGTGTATACATATATAAATATAATTTCTTGATATTTTTATAACTCTTACAGGGATTGAAAGGACTTGACGGTCCAAAAGGTGAAATTGGAGCAGCTGGAGCAAAGGTATTTTCATGGCCCAAAGAACTAAATGCTTAAGCGTGTTTTCTGTAATGCCAAAATAATGAAAGATAGTAGATCTTTTGAATGCAGCTTTGTACCCTCTCGTGTCAGTGCTACTTGTATGGAGTGGAGACGCTATGTGGAATTGTCCATTTTTACTGTGTGTTTGATCCATATAAATTGCTATACAATGACATGTCTGGGCTTTATACAGGAAGAGAGGTCAACAGTGCCAGTCACCATTTCAGCTGGGGCTCAGATTTAGGCCTGTAAGGTATCACTGGGTGAATTCACTGTGGTCTGTCTGTCACACCTATGTAATACCGAAGACAACAAAGTCTGTTAACAAAGAGCCCATACACATCTTGCAATTTTCCACTTGGCCAGTTTGTGGTTCTTGTTGGCTTTATGTGACCAAGCTGAGAGAGGAAAAAAAGTTTTCTAACTTTTTTTATATAATATACTAAACTAAACTAAACTAAACTAAAGCAATGCATAACGGAAACCTGACTCTCCTCTTTTGGATTACCATACTAGAGATTGGCTAAAAGAAACAGGCATTGGAGAGGAGAGAGAATATATTTTATCAGACTGACTATTTTTCACCTAACAAGTTTATTCTCTTTTTTTTTGACCCTCGCTGGTACTGCAGCACCCTTACAGCTTCAGCTCAAAGCAGTGGTAACAGAAGTTAGCCAGCTGGAGACAATCCTTTCAAGATGGATTAAAAGTTATTTTAAAAGAGCATAGAACACTTTTTTCCAGGCTTTTCCGCATTGATCAGTGCTGATGCTGAAACATTTTTGGCCTAGTATAGGCAGTAATCACAGGTGGGACAGAACTATTCCTTTAGGTTAAGAACATAGTAAAGGAAGTGAATCTTCCAAAATCTAAATTTAAATGTGAAATCAGTAGTTAAAGAGAGTTTGTGTAGGAAAAGATTTCTTTCCTGAGATTGCCTACCACCTTCTGTGGAGGCAACAACTGCAGGAGACTTGGTGGAAACAGTGCAGTAGGTGGTGCGGGCTGTTAGCTGGAACAGGTGGGAGTTAAGTCTGCTTCACTGAGAATGTGTAAATACGGCATTTCCCATCAGCATGGGAAACAGTGCCCTTGATGCACAGGTGACTGTGCAAATCTGCCGCTCAGGTCTAACAGAAGCACGGACGACAGGGAGGAAACATGTAACTCCATTTTCCTCTAAACTGTTTTCTCTAATTGTGGCATTTCATTTCCATTTCTAGGGAGAATCCGGACCAACAGGTGCCATGGGTGCAACGGGTCCTCTAGTGAGTGTCATGTGCATTGGATATTGCAGAAGTGGCTTTAAGATTGTAAATGCTGTTGCCAATAGGAATTTTAAGGTTTTGATATCTGTACTTGATGTCATGAAGCTGAACTTTCTCTTAATTAAGGCTTTGTTTTCTATTACACTAACAGCAAATTTGGTCTACTATAAGCTGTTATCCTTTGCAATTCACAGCCATAGATAATAACGATAAATCAGAAGGCTGAACAGAAACTTGAATGTAGTTTTTGTGATTGTTTACCTGTTCCTGTAAGTGTAGGGTGACTAAATTTTTTTTACATGTTGATGCTTCATATGGAGTGATTTCCACACGAGAAAAACTGGTTTAGGTTGCTCTGAGGTAGAAATGGAATAATTAGGTCAGAAATGCACTAGCTAGGAAAACCATGGACAGAGGATTTTGGAGGTTATGGTGAGGATAAGCATGCATGACATGGAAGTGAAATGGAGAAACTTTTTCTCAGAGTAGTTTTCATTCAGATGTGGTTTTGGACAACTGAATACTTGTGAGCAGTGTAACATGCCAAAAATCAGCTCTCAGCAGTGCTTCTGGAAGTAAAGCACCCTTCTGATATCCGATAATGACATCTCTCTATGAAGCACTATCTTGTGTCATGCAGAATGTAATATCCCTGAAGTGGAACCTAGTTTGTGAATGAGACGTAGTAAATGAGATTGCATTATTGACCCTGGTGAGTATATACAGAATTTATTCTAATGTGTTTAAGAGTGGAAATACTGTTGGAACAGGAAAAGAGAAATTACAGTCTATTAAAATTCCACTGGGCAAGCCTGTGAGCTGCAAGGATTTATGTAAGCTGCTACTTCTTTCCTGCTATAGGACAAGATAAGCTACACCTGCAGGAGGAAAAAAAATAACTGGGTTCTGTAACTGTTGTTCGCATCATCTGTCCTTATCGTGCTTGTGGTCTCAGTGAACCTAATCATGTTCTTGTTAAAAGCAAATAAAGAAGACTGAGCATAAAATTGCTGAAGAGCAACGCAGTGCAAAACTTATTTGAACCAAAGGAAAAGTCAAGTATGTTAAAAAAAAAAAGGCTAAAAAGTAAAGAAAAAGAAGAAAAAAAAAAAAAGAGGGAGTGGCATATGTTCTCTCCACTATGGGGAGAAAAAAATCAAGTGAACTATGTTTTCCCCTTTTTGTTATTCTGCCACGATGAGCTCCTAAATAATGCACTTTTTATTCTTTCTTCAAGGGACCTAGAGGAATGCCAGGAGAAAGAGGTCGAATTGGACCACAGGGTGCCCCTGTAAGTAGGATCTTCCTTTTCTCTCCTTGTAATTCTTCCCTTGTTTTACTTAAATTTAAATCCCTGAGCCTAAAAGTATTTATTCATGTGACTGTTAGTCACTTCCGTGGTGAGTTCTGCTGCAGCTTGAGAAAGTTAGGGCTGAGCAGAGTTTTGTAGGGTGAGACCTTTACTATAACTTTCAAAAGTCAAAAACAGTTTCAAAAGGAGAATGCTAGCTGTAGGGTAATTTCTCATACCAGAGCTGCCCACGAGGCCAAATACCCTCACAACACTTTTTTCTGTGACACAAAAATGTCTTCTTTGTTTCTGTGAAATTTCTCTTGAGTGGCTATTTTCACCAAAAATTACTGAACAAGAAATAATATGTATTGATTTCGTCTGGAAAAAAGTTCAAAATGAAAGTTTAGACTTTCAATTTAAATTAAGTCTTATAATTTAATTCCAGGTAATAAAGCTGTCATCTTAAAAAGTATTTTGCTTTTCAGCAGAAAGAGGGATTAGCTGTGACATGAGATCGTATTTGAGTAGAAATTTCTTTCTGTTGCTTTACGTCCAGTGTCAAGTATTGTTTTTTCTGGCATTTCTCCCTATGACTTTTATGTGCTCCGTTTATGTTATGTGCTCCGTACAATGACACTGTCAAAATATTGGCCTCTCTGAAAATAGAGAAATCCATTAACTTAAAGGGGAGCATAATTTCTTCCAGAAGTTTTCCATGCCAGTGATTGGAGGGCTCTGCAATCCAGCATTTCTTTGATCTCTTTAGTATGTATGGCTGTTATCACAAATGCTAACAATAAAAAAATAAATAGATAAATTAGTTAGCGTTCTTATAAATATTCTGTCTTGTCTGTTTTCATGTCTAGGGTGGACGTGGCCAGCATGGTATGCCTGGGAAGCCAGGGCCAATGGTAAGTTTCTTTCTTAATCACCTATTTTTTTCACCTTATATTTCCCACTTGCCTTTTGACACTACCAAAAGAAGTGCAAAAAAATTCTTGGCAGTTGCTGGTAACAGTTCAGTGCAGCTGGAATTATCTGTAAGTGATTCCTAGTTCTGCTCATTTTAGCTTTAGGGCTGTCCTCTGAGAAATCATACTCTGCAGTTTACTTCATCTATAGGTTTTAATTCGCAGAGGAGTGGCATCTTCCCTGGAGAGGTGAGGCTTTGCTGCTTTTATGAAATGGGATCCGTATCGTAGGGAGATAAGTGTCTTGAAGATATGCACTGCAATATAAAACAGTTTATAATTGCATTTTATCTTCCTTCACATACAAAGCTGGCAAATGAGGTTGTACCCATTCTCAGCAAGAAGAAATGCCGCTCACTGATAGCAGAACTCGCTACCTGCAATTGATCCATTTCAAAACATGTAAAAGATAGCCTTTTAATCATGGACAGTCATACATTGAACTGAAGAACCAGAAGCCTACGTGTGAATGTCTGCCAAACTGAGAAAGCCTGGTATGCATGACTGTAGAAGTTCTCACACAATTGCAGCAGGGCTGAAGACGACTGTGGTATTTTGAACTGTGGATGTCGGTGTATCAAAGGGTGATGGTTTCAATCCTACAACCCCATCTCACAGTGCATTTGCAAAATGCCTTTGAGTGAATTCACACGAGTATTAGGAAGCCAGTGGGAATATTCACATACATACAGTTAATTATGTGTTGCTTTTGCAAATGAAAGCTTATGATTATTTCGTCCTATTTGTGCAAGGCCAGCTTCCACTTTAAAGATGCGGTATTCTCTTTTGTTTGCTTTTTTTGAAAGCATTACTTCTAGGATGTGGTTGAGAGTTTCTGCCTGTTGATGTAGCCAACCTGAACCTTTACAACTTTGTGATGTTCAACTTAAAAAAAAAAAAAGAAAAAAAAGAAAAAAACCACCACCCCCAAAACACCACACCAAAAAACCCCCCTCAAAACCCCCAAACACCTCCAATTAAAATTTCATTCTGTGCATACTCTTTATTTAATAGTGATGTAAGTCCTGAGAAAAATTCATTTACCTGTGTCATCTTAATGAACAGACTGTTTTATTAAAAACTTCATTAAGGAGTAATGTAATAGAAGCTGTAATAGAAGCTCGAAAAATGGGTGTCATTGTCTAAAAGCTGCAAAACTCAATTATTTAGTATATTATGAAAGAAGGGTAACTTGTTAGAAGAAACTTTCAAACAATGAAAAGATTTTTCAGTATTGAAAACAAATTATAAAGTTAAAAAAAGCTGGGTCCCGAGCTATGAAATTCTACATGAAGCTTGAAATTTTTCTTTGGCATAAAATATGAGCTCAGCTTCACTGGACATGATAATTGGTTGGCTAACATTTTTGGTAAAATCCCATGTAGTGCCACAAGGGAGATACTGGTACTTAATGCATATGTTTCTCATTGGAGGAAGTGTTAATGAAATGCATTGTTATTTGGGTCAGTGCAGTGGTACACTGTAATTCTGGAATTCTTCCTGCAATAAGAGAGAGATTTGGCAGACATGTATTTGTGATCCAATAAACTGGGACATGGGTTTTCAAAAATATACTTAGTGAGCTGTTACATCAGTTCTGTAGAAATCCAGTGCAAGGTCATGGCAGAAATGTTGTCTCAGAGGGACAGATTGTTCTCATTAAGTTTGTCAGCAGCGCTTTATTACATAGAACATTTTTTCACAGTATGTATCATATTTTACAAAAAGAGAGAAAATCAGGAAAAGATAAAGAGGAATCATCTGGGAACAGTGTTGTAGTGAATATTTATAACCACTGTGTGCCGCCATCCAGAGAGTTTATTATACAGTAGAAGGATCTTCTGTCGAATGTCTTGTTCAGCACAGGAGGCATTATGAAAATGGAAACAATTTAAAAATTTACTCTGAAGCCCTTAATTGGAAGTCTTTCTGTTTAGCAAAACAAGGTTTGTGTCATACCATACAGGTATATTGAGGTGTGTACGCTTGAAATTTGCTTTCTAGTGAGTTTGGACAGTCTGCCATGTAATGCAGCCCCAGCTGTTTGCACCCCTGCCCAAACTTCATGTCCTTGCAGCCACGCGAGGTGCGCCTACGCTCTGCCGCGCAACGCACCAAGAATTTGGCTCTAGAACCAGAAATAATGTAGCTACATCAACACTACAGTCTGCTCAAGCTGTCAGCCCTTTTTAGATACAGCATCGACTATATCTCAAGATATAATGCTATTTGGGAAGAGCTATGCTGGTTTTGGGAGCTGAAGATGTACCTCAGCACAGCATTGTCTTTCGAGGTGTGGCGTAACGCAGCCCTTCCTCCACTTCCTTTTCCAGAAATACCTGCCTATCTCTGAACAAAGATCCAAGCAGTAAACTCTCTCTGCTGTATGTTTTTCTCCATAGAGCCTTGAAAATTTGATACAAAATCTGTGTTTTAAAGCTTGCAAATGAATTTGGCTGTGAATTTGGGACTCTCAATGGGGCAGAAGAGTAGGAAGCAGGGCATGTAGTTGCGTAGCCTTTAATTATATTTTCACTTCCCATGTTGCTTGCCTCAAAAATCTTGTCTAGCAACCCAATTGTTTCAATGTAGATGTGGCCTGTATTTCTGTTTTTTCTAGATCACTATTTTAAGTTTAAAAGAATTGAAACTCTTTTTTGCTACATCCTGTAGGACAAATTGTGATCGCTTAACAAATATCTGATCTTTTCATTACCATACCACAGTAGCATAGATATAAAAAGAGGATATAATATTTTGCTAAAAACTAAAATTGAAAAACAGTTGCTATAATAATTGTCAGCTGTGTACATTGCAATTTGTGCATTAATAGCTGAATCAAGAGCTGTAACTTCGCTGAAGTAAGTAAATATATTATTAAAATACTGCACCACAATTCCATAAAATGTATATGTATCACTTAGAAAAACGATATTTATAGTTATTGTGGTTTTGTTATGAACAAATATTTTATGACTAAAAATACATTTAATCCCAGAACCATGTTTACCCAATGATTAGATACGAATCTGTGTGATCTAAACTGCAGAATTACAGCTTTGTGTGTCTTTTATAGGGCCCACTTGGCATAACAGGTTCTCCAGGTTTTCCAGGTGCTCCTGGTGTAAAGGTAAGAAATAAAATAAAAATATCTTTTTAATATGTCTAACAACACAGAATTAAAAAATGTGTACTAGACTACAGCGAGTTCAGAGTTGCTGTGAAATCAATCTTAGTCAAGACCTTGAGACAGAAGATAGAATTCAGAAGCCAAATGAAGCAATTGCAATTCGCCACAGTTAGGATACTTTCTTTGCTTTCACTTTTGCTTGAGTTAAGGGGTGATTATAAGATGACTGCCATGCTGTGCCTCAGGAATCTTGTCCTTCAAAGAATAACAAGATGCATTATTACAAGTTAAGTTGCGAGGACTAGTCTAAGACAGTATGGAAGCAGTACCTTCTAGGGCTGAAACTTCCAGTTTCCACCGAGAACACTTTTTGAGATGACCTAGATTGGTAAGGCAAATGCCTGAACCCCAACAGAGACGTACTACAGTTCATCACAATAGAGCAAATGATGATTACCACCTTTTGTGGCTCTCTGTGATTGGGCTGAAATGGAAAACTTTCATTCCCGGCAGCGCTGTCTTTGTGGGACTTTCCTCTCTTGTTTTTCAAGGAAGTGCTGAATTTTTTTTTTCCTAGCCTTAAGAATATGTCTGCAAAGATAGAAAAGACAACTCATACAGCTTCCTTATTCTTCTTATACTTGCTCCTCTGTTCCTTTACACTCCTAAAACATGATAGGAAAAAATTATACTAGAAGAAACTCTGAATTAGTCAGGTAGCCAAGTTCAGCAGATGTTTTGTGTTGTTGTGAAGCTGGCAACATTAATGAAACAGTTTTTTGGAAACAAGTCTTAATAAGAGTATTAACATAATGTATACAATTAAATGATAGACCTTTTAGTGCATGTCATAAAATATTTTGGTACGGCTAAGCACTACTTAATACCTAAATAAATGTTTGGAGAAGCTGTCACATGATGAATCAGTGAAAGCTTTTGAAAAGGAGGAGCTACCTTCAAGTTTGATCATCAGATGATGTAAATTGGAATAGTTGCTTTGAACTCATAAAAGCTAAGCAGACTGTACAATGAAGATGTGGACTTCAGTTCTGAAGATGTGATATTAACAGCCATCGGTTCCAAAATTCAAAGGAGATGCCAGGAGGAATTTTTTTATTGGAGCACCCAGTCCAATCTTACAGGGATTTTATATTTATGTATGCTGCAACTATGAGTTAATCTGTACTGTGCAAAAAAACTCCAGATGTGTTATCATTTCTAAATCTTAAACCTTAGCTGTTAACGAAGCTAAAAAAAAAAAAAGTTGTCAAATTACAGATACATACATGGGATTTTAGAGAGAGATGTCTTATCTGAAATATTTGATCTGATTTGGGCCACTGGCTGCTTTTCTGTAGAAAGTTTCCTTGTCCTTGTATAGATTGAGGAAAACTTCTGCTTGTACTTTTAAAGTTTACATTCACATAGAAGTAGTAGAAGCAGAATTAGGTAAGCAAAACTATATTTTAAAGATAATAAACTATTTCAAAACCTGAATTGTTTTTCTCTTATAAACTCAGTATTCCTCCTTAGGTACTTTGTAACGCTACTTTTTAGAGCAAAATAATCTCCAGTTCTTTCCTCATGTGAAATCTTAGGGTGAAGCAGGTCCAACGGGTCCTCGTGGTCCTGAAGGTCCTCAAGGACAAAGGGGTGAAACGGGTCCACAGGGCCCAGCTGGATCACAAGGTCTTCCTGTAAGTACATTAAATTGAGTTCCTCAGTGCTCAGCTTGCACGTTGCCTGTTTATACATTTTAATACCCCACTTGATAGACACTGAGTTTTGCTCAAATTACATTTTTCCCAGGAAAGGAAAGGTCTCATTCATTTGTTTTTTGCTTATTTTGTTGAAAATAACTTTTCATTATTTAATTAAAACAGCTTGGAAAACTGAAAGTTACACAGCTTGATACAGTCTCAATCCTAGAAGTACTTTAAAGCTTAACCTTAAACATAAAATCTTAAAGATTAAAAGTCACATTAACTTGCATGCTTTGTTACTCATATTAGGATTTGCACAAGTAGATCGTATGTTGCTGTATTTATTTAATAGACTTTATTGTCTGGTCTTGTAAAGATAAAATTAGTATCATCTGCTTTTGTTATTGATACCCTCCTCATTAAAATTAATGTTAATTAAAATTAATGTGAATTAAAATGTTATCTTTAGGGTACCGAAGGGACAGATGGTTCCCCAGGTGCTAAGGGCCCTACTGTAAGTAATCGTATCACCTGTTGAAGAAATTGTGTAAGTGGATTTTTTTTTTTCCTTATTTTTATTAAGTTTCCTTACTGTGCTTGCTGTTCTTTCTATTTGTAGGGATCTCCAGGCACTGGAGGCCCCCCTGGTTTATCAGGTCCACCCGGTTCCCCAGGACCACAAGGCAGTACTGGCCCCCCTGGTATTCGAGGCCAGCCGGTAATGTTTTTGTCTCTGTGGAAATTGTAATGTCTTGCAAACGTGTCACTCTATGAAACTAAAACAGTGATTAGCAGTGGGGTTCCTTTAAATAAATTAATAGCATACTAGTGAGTATGCTGAGAATCTTCTGTGTGTCCAAAATACTGATTTTGCTTTCTTAAAGGTCTAAGAAAGAAGAGTGTCTATATAAACTTGGACAAACAGTAACAGTTATCTCCTGAAATTGTCTCGTTTAAGTTTTTGTCTTGATAACGTCATAATAAACAAGCACACTAAGGGGAAAGACAAACCATTTTAAGCATCCTGTTATATTGCCTACAACTAGTTACTAAACTAGGAAATGTTTTTCTGTTTCATAGCATAATACAAAATGGTCAAATGATTTATGCAGAGTTTTAACCTAATGGTTGTTATTCATGTGTTTATTTTCAGGGAGACCCTGGTGTCCCAGGTTTCAAGGGAGAAGCAGGACCCAAAGGTGAACCCGTAAGTCTCCATATGCTTTGTAAGATGAAAAGGAATCGCAAAGGCTTGTATGAGTATTTTGAATAGATTCTTACAATTTTCAAGACACTTCTGATGCTTATAATCATGAGTAATTGTAGTGAGACAAACCACAGTGAACGTGGCTGGACAGTACTAACAATGAATGGCGAAGCAGGTCCTTTGATGTTATAAATCACCGACCCAATATAGGCCTCACAGGACTCAAGGACAGAAAAACCAATTAGTGCATCTACTGAGGTTTGTGTAGCACACAGAATGAGTGTATTCTAATTTCTTCATCTCGTATGAAATGGATCCGTACGATTCTGAACATTTAAGAGCACACAGGTCTGTGTGCTAATCATAATAAAAAAGTCCTTTTTATTTTAAACTTACATTTAATACATTTTATACTTATGCAGTTATATATATATTAATTATATTTTATTTATACATTAAAATAATATAAATGTTTATACATTTATGGTATGAATAGCTGTTTAGCCCACAGCTAATATTTGTGAAAGATTATTTGAGAACATGGCTAATTCCATGCTGTAACCATGTGAATTTTGGAAGAAAAGTGATTCTGCAGAGTTGGAGTCAGTTTGACTTGTTAACCAATCTTTAATTTTTTTTTCTCACTAGTTAAATGATCATGTAATAACTGACAAAAATGTACAGATGAAGTAATGGTTTCCTTACCACTGACTGTCTTCTCCTTTGAGAATTTCTACTAGAGTCACACTGAATTTTGAATCCTTTGCAGCTTGTCCAATTGATAATAATAAATACAAATTGTTATATCTGAGCAAATAGGTGATTATAAGAAGCACTGTACAGCCGAACTGCAGAATTACAGTTTATTCATAGTGCCCTTCTTACTGAAACAGTAGCTTATAAGCATTGTAAAAGAGAAAAGCTGATGCTGAAAAGCTGCATTGCTGCATTTTTTAACTGATTCAAAACCTCACTATTTTTTTTTCTTCTTTATTTGGAAAAATATTTATGATGTTTAGAAGATAGTCTGTTTCAATATACCTGAGAAGTCGTGAGCTTAACAATGATTTTTTTAAAAGCATTTTACTTTCACTAGGGCCCACAAGGTCCCCAGGGTCCCATTGGACCTGTAGGTGAAGAAGGGAAAAGAGGTCCTCGAGGTGATCCAGGGTCAGTAGGTCCACCAGGTCCTGTTGGAGAGAGGGTAAGCAATCCAAAGGAATAATATGTCTTGAGAGATGCACTGCTAAGCTGAAAAACCTCTTGACCTAACCATGAATTTTCTTACAGCTTCGTTGTGGGTGTAGTCAAACTTCATTTTATTAATGAAGTAGTTAATACTGTGCATTATTTTTTGCACTGGATATTTTCATTTGTGGATTCCGTGCACAGGATAGTAATGGTAGGAGAAATGGTGGAGATACGACGAGCTAACCTATACAAATGGTCATCTTGCTTTCAATGAGGCTGTTCACATAGAAGGAACTGTTCAGCATGCATGGATGAAACTGGTATTTTTACCACTCCAAATGGTAAAAAAAGACAAGTTTAAAGTATCAGAATAAGAAAGTTGTAAGGAAATAAACTGAATCCCCAAAACATAAATCTAGTACTTTATTTGCAATAAGTTATGTAAAAATTAAGATAATAATCTGGTATCTATGGCTTTTCCTAGGGTGCTCCTGGTAACCGTGGTTTTCCGGGTTCTGATGGCTTGCCTGGACCAAAGGTAAATGACATTAGTGTCCATCTTTCATTGGGTCATTTTAAAAATTTTCATACATACAGATATGTAGAAAGAAAGTGTTCCATTAAAAACGTCTGCTTCTTGGCAAATAGGCAGATCCTCAAAATCACTGGAAGCAGGATCAAAAGGAATTGACAAATGCCAAAAAGGGGTCTGAATGTTTTGAGACTAAAATTTTTTTGGGAAAAGTCACTTTCAATTCCTGTGATGTTCAGCTTTGCTTGCTTGTCTCTGACTTAATGCTCCCTCATGCTGAAACGTGAATAGATAAGAGATATTGACCTGTTCTACTACTATATTGTTTTATGTATTGCTCTATAGTAGGTAACTATTTGAAAAATTACTTTTTCTTTGTGTGTGGTATAGTTTTCCTAGACTTGTCCCTTGAACAGATGGGCTTATCTATCTTTGGCTTTCCTAACTGCTATAACGCTTCCAGGGAAGTGACTCACATATGTATTTGTCTAGTGTTCCTGTAAATTCCTACCTTCTTGGTAAAAATACAGGGATTCTGAAATTCTTATATAAATTTGCTTTATGGAAGAGACAACTTCTAAGTAACAATTTGGGAAAAAAAGTAATAATAATAAAAGTATTAATGATTTGGAACTCTGTTTGCAAAAATAGATCCTTAATAGAAGATACCTGTTTTATTTAACCTTCTCTTACTGTTGCTGTTCTACCTGTTAAGTAGTAGCCCATTGGTATCTTTCTAGGGTGCTCAAGGAGAGCGTGGTCCAGCAGGTTCTTCTGGTCCTAAAGGAGGTCAGGGAGATCCTGGGCGCCCTGGTGAACCTGGCCTCCCGGGTGCAAGGGTAAGGAACTAATAGCAGTACACTGTAAACCATGGTGTTTTTCGTTTTCAAAAGGCAACGATGAGCTTTGCAGAGTTAAGAAGCTGTTACACAAGGACAGGCTTGTTTCAATGGGGCTACTTAAAGGGTAAAGGCCA